AAATCACTTATCTAGGCTCTAAATTGCTTCCAAGGGCTCTCACTCATGATTTAGGGTTTCTGGATCTCAAAAGGGGAGTAAAGAGGTTGGGGGAAGGGATGTAATGTTCTTTAAATAGGGCACAACCCCCGGGATTAGGGTTTTTCTTGCCCAGACCAGACTCGCCGAGTCCACTAGCCGACTCGCCGAGTCGGTCACTTACTCTATACCCCGGATCCCGCTCCGACTCGTCGAGTTCCTCCCTGGACTCGACGAGTTTACTCATGACTTAGAGCTTTTCCTTTCTTTTCTTGGTCTTTCTGATTCTGGGTGTTACATAATATCACACCCCCAAACCGGAACCGCTGAAACGTTCGGGGACGGAGGACGTCATGTTTAGTATCACAACACATGCATCATAGTAATAAAAGTAACAAACAACCATTGCATTAATATTAAAGTGTTTACAAAGTATGTGATTCACAAAAGATTGACTTCCAAAGTAAATAACAAAACAAGACATGAAGCTACTATGCTCCATCTTCTGAATCCTTGAGCGCGCACCTGTCTACTAGTTTCCTGAGAATACAAGTTATTTTGAAAGTGTAGATCAGCATTTATGCCGGTGAGTTCATAAGTATTTTAGTGATGAAAAGTAAGTTGTAAGTTCTTTTAGAAAAGTTCGCCTGTTCCTCCAGATTATCCTATATTTTCTGATGTTATTGAAAGATAATAAAAAATGACTCTACAATCCCTTCTATGAGTACTAAATGGATACAAGTTATATAAAACCCAGAGTAAACAGACAATCGATTCTGTGAATCTGCCCTAAGCCCACAACCAAACAAGGAACAGGAAATGAGGCGGAAGTCATACATCCCATTGTTTGTTAGATCTTCATTGTATATAACCCGGGCGTATTCATTTGGTACTCACGGAGTTAACTGTAATAGTTCCTTTATTTGATGAAAACATTCCTTAAGAAAATCATATATTTCCTTTAGTAAAAATGGTAACCACAATAGTTCCTTCTATAATCACTTAGTTTATACTAGCTATATATAATCTAATATCGAACGAACAGTTGAATGGGTGAATCTGCCGTAAGCCCACAACCAAACAAGGAACGAGAAGTAAGGCGGAAAGCACACATCCAACTGCCTATCGGATATTAATTATATATAACCCTAATGTATAAACTAAGGTATTATAGAATTAACCACTAAAGGTCCTTTAAGTTATACTGGTTTAATAAAATGATTTAAACCTTTTATAGATAAGTTTCTAGTTTAGCCAACTTAATGTTCTATCTGAAAAGTATGTTTTGTACTAGAAAACGGTTTACTGAATTTGTATGCTATGAGCTGACCCATACATGTTACTCCCTATGATTACTTGGTGTATACAGAATATATATATATATATATATATATATATATATATATATTATATATATATATATATATATATATATATATATAGCTAAGATCGAATAGATATAGATTGTGTGAATCTGCTCTAAGCCCACAACCACACAAGGAACAGGAAATGAAGCGGAAAGCACACATCCTACTGCCTGTTGGATCCGATTAATATATATCCCTGATGTATCCATCAATGAATCATAAAGTTAGCATTATAGGCCCCCTTCTAACTGAATGTACTAAGACTCGACTGTTCTGCTTGTCTTTTGTAATAATGTAAGTTTTCCTTAGTTTATAACTACTTTACTAGAAAATAGTTTAGTTTACTCGTTATGAGAATATCACTATATGAATGTAATAGGAAAATGAAAGTATTCAGTAATATTGTATAAAGTAACTACTGAAGCACTAACTACCTTAAAACCAGTTTGTTAATTAAGGTTAAAATGTGAGGTGGTTATAACCATACCGATTGACGAGTGTTTAACACGACGACCTGCTGGCATCGAAACTGATGTGACATTTGTCACCCCTTGGCCTACCGGCCAAACTGTAGCGAACAGTCGGGATGCGGGATTGTCAGTCCCATATAGATCTATACACACAATGCCCACTCTCCCTCCAGGAGACTCTGGTTACAAAATGCGACCTAACAAGTATATTTCTAAGCCTTGAAGTAGTGGTTTCACATCATTGTTATCTTGTTCTTGTTATCGTATGTTCCTTTCTGTTCTAGTTATTGTATGTTCCTTTCTGTTCTTGTTATTGTATGAACTGAACCCCTAAACTATACCTATTATAGTTTACTAATATGTTTGTTTTGAACTGTTACTGGCCTATAAAAGAGACTCAATTACCTACTGAGTTAAGCATGTATTTTTAAGAATGAAGTTTTACAAGCAACAAACTAATATCTTTTAAAAAGAGTTTTTGAATTGTTTTGATCACTTACTAAAGCATAAGAAATCTTTTAATGTGATGGTTATCACAGGTAAATATTTACACAATAACATTGTGTTTCAACTTATATTCCCCTCCTTAAAAGCATTTAAAACATTTAAAAGGAGTCGGACCTTATCAGTTATGTTCAGCTTCCAAGGTGAGTTTTCCTGACTCTATGTATGGGTCGAAGGTACCAAGGCCGGGCCTTTGGATTGTTATCTGGGCTTATCGTATGATTGTATACTATAGTGATTTGTTAGGTTCGTATCCTGGTAAATAGGATGATGCTATGATTAGTGATCTGTAAGATCTGTCTGTTTGTTTACTGGCTGGTTATTTGTATGCTTGTCGGTTATATATGTGTGTCGACACGGTGTATGTGTGGTTGGGTTGAGGCGGTCCTACTTTGTGATGAAGGACAACAGACCCAGGGCGGCCCAGATAGAATGAAGGCCAGTGGGGCATACCAGTCCGGACGAAGGCCCAGAGAACGGTCCAGATAGGTTGAAGGTCCGATGTGGCGTACCAGTCATGTTGAAGGTTCTGTGAGCGTACCAGGTAGACTGTAGGCCGGTAGGGCGTTCTATTCAGACTGAAGGCTTTGTATGCATGTTGTTTGCTGTTATTATTATGATTATGTGATGTGTTGGTATTTTGGGGGAACTCACTAAGCTTTGGGCTTACAAATTTTGATTATGTTTCAGGTACCTTAGATGATCACGGGAAGGCAAAGGTGTGATCGTGCACCTCTTCGTCTTTTGATTAATGATTTTGGGAAAACTCTGATATTAAACATGTTTTGAAAACTAAATTGTAAACAATGATGATTTGTGGATTGGTTTTAAAAGTTTAAATTTTTTATGAATTTTATGGATGTTACAGTTTTCTTAATTAAATAAGTTGTTATCTTCCTCGTTTATATTATATTATTTCTTATATATCGTCCATTTTTTAAAATACTATGATTTATTATTATGTATGTTTTTTTTATCACAACTGTGTAACACACATGTTCATTTTTAGTTAGGTTGTTGTCACTTGAATATGTCGATTTGGGTTTCTCCGTCTTGATCTCGCAATTTGGTTTTTAAGTACCTTTGATTTGTTTACTACTACAATTTAAGTATTTGAACGATGAGCAACATATGAGGAAGGTTGTAGAGTTTTCAAAGTCATCGTGGTACAAAGGATTCAACCCAACTTGAGGAGAAACTGAATTTGGCTTTAAGCTTATCAATTACTCCATCGTACGTTTCGGGAATCTCTTTAAAAAAGTCTTTAAGTTTGCAAAAAGATACACGGAAGGTAAATCATTATAATATTTTTGTCAAAACCTTGGAGGGTCATAAAATGATTCTAATATCTCATTTGACAATTTATTTGTAGGCTTTGACACCAAAGAAAGATGAGAAGGGACTCCAACATGTATTCTAGAGTTAAACATTTATTGCTTTTTCAAATTTTGAAACAACACAAAAATAGCAAGGACCTTTCTACATTTGTAGATGCAACCAACAAATGAGTATCTTTGGCATTTTTACTAAATATCATGAGTAATTCTCCTCATGAATACAACAACCGTACAAAAAAGACCAACTATTTTTGCCAATTAATTATATTTTATTAATAAAAAAATTTAAATCTTTTATTGGTGGTTTCTATATATTGTAGCCAAGTATATAATATATATCTTTTGGTCTAAGACTTCTCAAACTCTTCTACATACGTTTACCTTATTTATCAATCACATACTCAACGATGACATAATGGATGCATCCGTTGACTAAGTGGACACACAAGTCATATGGGTGCTTTTAGCAACTTTCGTTTTGCACCGGTTGCACACAGCAACCATATACCATTGGTTTTACATTTTCTCAACCACATATCATATTAAAAAAAAAATCCAAGAGAACTTGAATAACTAACATGAGCTATCAATTTTGGAATCTTTGGTTCCCCATATTTACAAATTTATTTACAATTTTCCAAGTCAACTTTGATCGTACATCTATCGAACATCTAGTTCCATCAATTTCATCACATCACTATAGTTATAATCATCATACTTCTCTTAACTTATATTGAGATTCATATCACCGCTTACATATTTCATATCATGTCTCCTTCATGTGATGGTATATATCTTCAACTTTCTCAACGAGGACTTATCTCATGTCCTTAAGCTCTAATTAGTCATGAGTTGCTATATGTCGATAAGTCATCCTTAGGACTCTTGGTCCTCGCCATAATTTCTACCTACTTATAGGTAGCTCATAAATCAGATATTTCTTTTAAAAAAAATGACATGATCAACGCAAGATATTTACAGCACCAATAATTAAAACATGAATCTTGCATGAAAGGCAGATATTTTGTTACATAAAACGTTGATTAAACAATGCTATCATCGTAATCAAGACCCCAGTTCTTCCAGCTGTAACATTTTGTGAATCATAACATCCCAAGTTCTTTCATACTCTTATACTATTCTGGATTTAGATCCCTCATCCAAATGGGTCCCACATCTATACACCGAAATCAACAACAACCGTCCATCTCTTCCAATCTCACGTTTCCTTCCTCCTATTGCAAAACACTCATATACTTTTACCCATATAAAATAAACTTATCATACATAATAAAAAATCATCCAAACCTTCTGCAACTAATTATATTTATATAGTTTCTGGAGGATTCTTCGAAACTAACATCAGCATGTATCGTGGGTGATGAACTGCCTCCCAATTTTATCATCCATCCTTTTCATTCCAGGCTTTCGTGTTTACTTCTGCAGTAATAACCAGTAGCAACTTATACCAAATCCCTAAATCTTGGTGTTCTGTTCTTTCTTCAAGGTGAAGAACTTTACCCTTTTTGGAGTGTTGAGTAAAATTTTGATCTGGGTTTGGAAGTATGGGTGGCAATGGAGCAAAAAAGTAGTGATTTTTATGAAGTTTTGGGATTGAAGAAGGAATGCACTGAAACAGAGCTCAAGAATGCCTACAAGAAGCTTGCACTGGTAAGAATTCTCTACTCCTGTCTTTTCTTGATTTTGAATGAAATTATTTACAATTCAACGTGTCTTAGAAATGGCATCCTGATCGGTGCTCGGCGGCCGGAAACACCAAATACGTGGAGGAGGCGAAGAAGAAGTTTCAGGCGATACAAGAAGCTTATTCTGGTAAACTCTTCTATTAGCCACACTGAATCTTGATATTTGTATTTTGGTGACTGTTTATAGCAACTTTATGAGATCAAACAATACTATGTTCTTAAAAGTCGTTAAAGATTTGAACTTTTTATTACAGGGTTCACAATTTGCTAACTTGATTCCTCTGTTTTCTTTTTCTTAGTACTCTCCGATGTGGATAAAAGATTTATGTACGATGTAGGAGTTTACGATAGCGAGGATGACGAAAATGTAAGTTCTTTTCTTTTTTGTTTTGATTATTAGTTTTGTTATAAAAATTCGTATAATGGATTATGAGATTTAAAACTTGAAAGAAGCAAGAATCTTTTGAGTTCAGATTCTTCTTGAGCATCGAGGTTTGACATGGTCCACCTTAAAAACGAAGAGGAAGATGAAGCATGATCTGGGCCACCATTTAAGGGCGTTGGATCTCAAGAAATTAAATATTAATCTTTCCAGTAATTATAACTCACTTTTGATCTAAAAATAGTCAAAACTTGGTACTTCCCAGATTCATATTTTTAGTTTTTTTTACCTCTAAGACTATGTTTCTTGTAAAAACAAAAAAAAAACTAGCTAATAAGCATTCTTAAACATCAAACTTAAAATGTAAGTCGTTTTACATTCAAAAGTCATATATACACTTTCTTGAAACCAGGAAATAACCCATGATCATGATTCATGAATTAAGAATCAAAAAATTTCCTTTCGTTGTTACTATTTTTTATATGTAAAGTGTTCATCTTTATTATGAATGAAGCTCATTAGTTAGTTAACTAATTATGGTAAATGATATTGGAAGCAGGGTATGGCTGACTTTATGAGGGAAATGGCTGTGATGATGAGTCAGAATAAACCCAATGTAAGCCATTAATTCTCTATTCAAGTAGGCTCACAAAATATATGTTCATGAGGATGTAGGCCCTTTTTAACGTACATGGGGCAGGTATCAACTTGGTTTTGTCTGCTAATACTCTGTGGGGTTTTTGTTGTAATGTCACTTGTCTTGTTGAGTGTTGACTCATTGTCAATAATTCAAAACATATTTTCCAAAAAAGGAAAACAAAGGTTACCATTTAAAGTGTTTTTGAAAAATGCTTATTGTGTGGTTGACAGGAAAATGGAGATAGTTTTGAGGAACTAAAGGATTTATTTGATGAGATGTTTGAAAGCGACATCGAATCATTTGATTCGACTTCACATTCATCTCCTTTATTTTCAAGTTGTGAAAGTTTGAGCTCTAGTTCCTCAAACAAGCGAGATTCGTCGGCTATGTCAAACATAAAAAACGAAGACCCTTTGCTTTTTGATGCGCACTTCCAAGGATTTTCCTTAGGGGTTAGTAGTTAGTATATCAATATCTTTTTTTTTTATGTTCTCAGCTAAACAAAGTCTCATTTGTCTTTATATATGTTGGATGCTTTGTCTCATACATAGATATGTTAGTCTAAAAATAGTCTCATTTGTTTCTATATATGTTAGAGTCGTTTATCTCTCCTTTAATGATTCTTTTGGAGAGAAAATCTATGATTTCGTATTTATAACTAATACTTTTGCTTAAAGTGTTATGTTTTGATAATGTTTTTTTGTGTGGATTTAATTGTTTTTAAAGACGGGAAGAAGATACGATGAGAGGAGCAGCAGCAGGAGGAAAGGAAGGCATGATTAATGCTTTCACCCAAAATAAGATTTCTTGTGAAATTAGGTTCACAATCACTTCAGAATCCTTTGATTGTCATCAAAAAAGTTCTAGTTGTTTCTATGTAGTTGTATTTTCTTGTATCAAAATCAAGTCAAGTGGCTTTAAATGTATTGTTTTCTTTTATGCAAAAGTGGGATTTTTTTGGTTAATTTCCATTCTGTGTTTGAGTGTGACCACATGAGCATACGTACATACACATATGTTATAATTGATGATGTCATAAAAAAACAAGTTGAAACAAATATATATTTGCTAATATATATACTTTAAAGGAACACCAAGTTCAAATAAAATAAATTATATTTGTATGGATAAATATCTGTTTGAATTAGGCAGATGGGGGACCATTTGCTTTTTTGGGTTAATTATTGTCATTCTATGTTTGCATTTTCTTTCTTTCTTCTTTATTTATTTTATTGGAAATAAAATATGTGCTTTTTCATTTTATAATAGTCGACCTCTTTCACCAAGACTTTTATTTCATGATAGTCATGCATTGTATTCTTGACTTTTTTATAAAGAAAGAACACTATTTTTCTCTATTTAACTGAGATTTTTTTTTTTCCGAAAGAGTTTGAACTGAGATATTTAGTTAAACATCAAAGACAATAACGGCTTGCTTTGTTTTGTTGCAAAGCTCATATGCTTTTGGAGTGGTGCGCTTATAGTTAAAGATATTTGATTTTGCATTTTTTTTTTGTGCTATTAAAATGATCATAAATATTAAAGGACTTTCAGTCTAATGTATCACGTGTTTGCTGCAATTTGCCCTATGATTGAACATGCTTGGAGCGAAAAATATAGTTTAAAGTAGAGTATAGTGTGAACGTGTCTATAAAAATTAAAAGAACCATAAATGATGCAAGATAACAACATAACATGTATCCTAACTAAAACAAAATGATCAATAAAAGACAAAACTGTAAAATTGGTCTAGTTTTCAACTTTCATCTAAGGTCCAAAATCAAAAATTTCCTTTGGTTTTAGTCCATGGAGGACTTGAAAAGACTGTTTTGCCCTTTTCATTTCTTTTTTTTGTATTTTTTAATATTTTCTTTAATAATTTATTAATTAAAAGTTAAAAATGAAAAAATTGGGTCCACACCCACCACTACCGATACTCTCTCTCTCTCTCTCACTCTCTCTCTCACTCCTTCATCACCTGCAAACACACACACGATTAACATAAACACACAAAATTCGATTTATGGGTTTTTTAGGAATAACTGCTAACATAAACATACATAAAATCGATGGCTGATGGAACGGACAGAAGAAGAGGCAATGTATTTGGGTTTGAAATCGGATGTAATCTATTTGGGTTGTGTGGATTCCAATCTGGTATTCTACCTTTCCCTAGGGAAGAAGAAGCAATAAATTTGGGTTATGTTTGCAGGAAACGAAAACCACAAACCACAAACAGATCTGGATTTTTGTTGATGCTACAACCAAACGACGTTAATGGTGGTGTTTGTAGATGGATCTCTGGGGGATAGGAGGAAGACACTCTTGCTACGCCCCTGACTTCAAATCGTCATCGATGGTGGATATCCTAAGTTCGTCATCGTTTCCAAGTGATGTTCATCGGGTGTGTTCCAGGTGCTGTTCATCGGAGCTCATCATCATTTCAGGCGGTGTTCTTCGGGTAGAGTTTTATATCTGATTTTTGTTTCAGATCTGGCCTTTTCCATCTTCGTTTCAGATCTGCAAAGAACAAACCCACCTTCAAGAATAGTAACCTTTTTTGTTCATGTGTAAAATTGGAGGTGGGAATTGTAAAGCTTGTATCTTGATGCAACTTTTGAAGATTATTGAAATTGATATTTTACAATCTGTGTTTCAGATATAGAACACTGTATGTGTGTGTGTGTGTGTGTGTGAGAGAGAGAGAGAGAGAGAGAGAGAGAGAGAGAGAGAGAGAGAACCTGTGGGTAGGGTGGACCCGACATATTTTTTATTTTTCTTTTGTTTGTTTTTTAATTAATAAGTTATTAGAACAAATATAAAAATTACAAAAAAGAAATGGGAAGGGCAAAATAGGCCTTTCAACATTTTTTGGACTAAAATCACAGAAAATTCTTGATTTTGGACCTTCCATGCAAGTCAAAAACGTTTTGGACCCTATCCAAAGTTTTTTGAATACCACAGGGACCAATTTTACAGTTTCGTCTCAAGAAAACCACCAATAGTACATCACATATTATTAAGTTAATTTTTCTGCACCGTAAATTAAGTTGGATAATTGTTACATAGCGGAATTTAAAATTTAAAATCCATGGGTGTCTAACTTAAATGAGGTGACAAAAGTTAACATATCAATAAATTTTGGTTACCGGTTCAAGTTCAGGGCTGATTGTTGTTTTTACGGATTTTGACAGTATTTTTTTTTTTACTTTTTTTTTGTCACCTTTCATTTTAAACTTTTTTTTTTAGTTTGTTAATTTAAGGGATTAAGAACCTAGGATACACTATGGTATCAATAAAAAGATTTTTTTGATTGTTTAGTACCCAATGATCAATTTATTAGTCATGTATTAGTTGTAACTATTTATTATACCCTTTAGCCTATAAATGTATATTTCAAGTGTGTGTATATGACCATCGTGTGCATGTATTTAACCATACACGCTCTTTTTGGAATACAAGGAATTATTCAAACTTATATGGTATCGAACCTAATTTCCTTCCTCTCAAATCTCCTGGAGGTTTTGTTTCCTTTCCTTGTACCCCACCACCGGCTGGCCTCTCTTGACCATCATACCCACTTACTTTGGGAATTTATGTTAAAAAAAACCGATGACATATCCAAATTCATTCATTTATGTGCATATGTTCATACATAATTTAATAAAGAAATACATGATTTTCAGTGTGACCACGGGGGAGGATATGACAACTCCACCTACCCTTCGCCAACGTTTTTACACTAATGGTATCCTTTTTGTTTATCCTGTCCAAAAACCTCACTATAAAACCGAGGATCAAAACGCATGATTCTCATCATCAAAATCTCTATCTGTACTTTATTACTCCAATCACACGTTCCTCATACTTATTGAGGGGGGGGGGGGGGGTCTCCACATGGAAACCCATCTCCTTAATATTCTTCCATCCAAGTCTATAAATCATGAAATCCCACACATCTACCCACCGAATTACAATAGCCAGTGTTTTTTTCTCTTTCATTGTTACCCACACATCTACCCACCAACGAAACTCCGATAGTTTTCTATCATATGTATCTTCCTTGGCCATCCTGCCAATCGTCGAGGTTTTCGTTGCCTCAACCTTCACAATAACAATATCATACTTTCTTGTTATGTCACATTTGACGAAAAAGTATTCCCATACGTATCCATGACCCCAACCTAAACTCCTTCATACACTTTTCCTGATGACAACCTTACACCGAACTACATTGACACTAGACTCTTCACAACTCCAAACCCTCCTTCTACTCCCAGTCTCCCCAAGTATGAACATAGTTTGTTCTATGTGGCTATTAAACATAAACACAATGCAATGGATCTCTCAGCAGGTATAATGCTCGTTTGGTGGCTAATTGAAAAAGTCAACAATTGGGAATTGATTGTAATGTAACTTTAGCCAGATTTGTTGGGCCTCCAACCATATGGAAGCTTAGATAAGAGAATACGTTTCGTTTTTTTATCGAAAGCTCGACCAGCGAGAAAAAGTTTTTGGCCGAAGACAAAAAGTTGACCCACTTCATTCGCTGGTCGGATCAACCTCGCTTCGCGGGAACAACAAAAACCACCTGTCTTAACTCTTGTAGTGTCCAAACAATGACCGATACATCAACTAGATGTTAAAAATGCTTTTCGATATGGCTAGCTTAACGAAACATCATATATGCATCAACCACTTAGTTTTTGTGAAAAACGTCACCTAGATCACGTTTTTCAGCTCCACAAATCACTTTACATGCTTAAACAAACCCAGAGGGCATGGTTTCAATGTTTTGCAGGTTATAACTTACATATAGGATTTGTTTACAGCGGGACTGATTCTTTACCATTCATCCATTGAGATGGAATTGATCATGCTTTTCTAATTTTATGTGTTGACGACATAATCCTCATAACATCAACCTTTACTCTCTTTCACTGATTCATAACATCTCTCATATACAAGTTTGTAATGACTGATTTCGACGCATTGATGTAATTTCTTGGTATATTTATTACCCGTCCACTTATGGGCTTGTTCCTATCCCAACGTAAAAATGCTTAAGATATCCTTGATCGAGACAAAGTGTAAAATTGAAATTATTGCAAAACATCGATCAATCATACCTATAAGATTAATGGTGAAGGCACACCATTCTTTGATCCCTCCATGTATTGTAGCCTTGCGGGGATATTATGATATCTCACCTATATGCGCCTGTGAATCATATTTACGGTTCAACAGATCTACTTGTACATGCACAATACTAGAGAACCTTAACTCATCCTTTGCTACCTCCAAGGTTCTCTCGATCATGGGCTTCAACTCTATGATCTACTTGTACATGCACAATACTTGTACATGCCATATAACACATCCTTTGCTACCTCCAAGGTTCTCTCGATCATGTGCTTCAACTCTACGATTCCCCTTCCTCGGCCTCCACAACTTATTCAAACACCGACTTGATAGTCAACATCAGTTTATTCTGTATTTTTTGCGGTAAACCTTGTATATTGGTCCTTTAAACGTCAACATATTATTTATTGTTCGAGTGTAGAAATAGAATACGAAGGTGTGGCCAATGCAATTGCCAAACACGCATGGCTCCATAACCTTCTTCGCGAGCTTCATAGTCTGATCAACATAGCCCCAATTGTGTACTATGGAAATATCAGTGCCATCTACATGAAAAAAACCTGGTCCATCACCAACGAATGAAACACGTAGAACTCAATATGTCCTTTGTCAGGGATAAAGTCGTAGTTGGCTAAATCTGATTTCTTCATGTTCCCTTCTTGCTACCAGTATGCATACATCTTCAGATATGGTCTCCCGAGACCTCTGTTTGGACACTTCCATTCCAATCTAAACGTCTGTCCCCCCCCCCCCCCCCCCCCCGCTTAAATTTAGACCATGTATGTATATTATCACTATGTATATACAACCCAATGGCCGACATGTAGTATTGTAACATACCCCTCTGGCACGTATCATAATATTGTCCGCT